TAGGCATGGTCCCTTGCCTGTCTGCCATTCAAAAATTTCAGAGTTGTAACTATAAATTAATAAATTAATTCCTTTAACCTGTAAAATACTTTCCCAAAGAAGATGCTTCTGCGTAACTTCAGCATGGGCTCCTGTCTCCATGGGCCACAGGTCCTGCCAGGAGCATGCTCCACAGCAGGCTTCCCATGGGGTCACAGCCTACTTCGGGCATCTCCACTGCTCCAGCCCGGGATCCTCCCTGGGCTGCACGTGGAGATCTGCTCCAGTGCAGACCTTCATGAGCTGCAGGGGCACATCCTGATGGTCTTCACCATGGGCTGCAGAGGAACTTCTACTCTGATGCCTGGAGTACCTCCTCCCTCCTTCTGCACTGACCTTGGAGTCTGCAGGACTATTTCTCTCACATTCTCTCACTCATCTATCCAGCAGCAGTTTTTCCCCTTCTTAAATACGTTACCCCAGAGTTGCTTCCATCATCTTTGAAGGGCTCAGCCTTGGCCCATGGCGGGTCCATCTTGGAGCTGGCTGGTGTTGGTTCTATTGGACATGGGGGAAGTTTCTGGCATCTTCTCACAGAAGCCACCCCAGTAGCTCCCTGGCTACCAAAACCTTGATATGCAAACATAAAACAGTAATTCAGCTGTACCTGAAGCTATGTAAAATATATTATACATAATAAAAATGAATAAATAATATCCCAAAATACTTGTGTATTTACAAATAGTTTCTGCTAATTTTAAAATGGCCTGGTCTTCAGTAGCACTGGGTTATAATTTCAGAAGAGTAGAACTCATTCTAGCTCTAAGGCTTTGACTGTAAACTTTTTCTTCAATTATATAAATAGCTATCACAGCTGCTTAATTGCTAGTGACTGATCAAGTTGGTCAAATGTTATATTTTACACATTAGATATATATTCCAGATTTTAAAATTGGAAATATAGAGCATTCATAATACCAGATGACAGAAATCTCATTAAGGAAATGTCTGTAAACAGACCTAGCTCAACCTCCAATTTAGTGATCTCAGCTTATGAACTGATGGGTTACAGTGCAGCAGCAGTGGTAAAATATATGAGAGATATAGATGCACATAAATGCACACGCATACATACATCTGGGCATGTCCTTCAGTCCAGGAATATTTAATACCTGCAGTAGGCACTAGGCTGTATCTGTGCCTTGAAAATCAAACCCCAAAAGATCATCTGGAATTTTATTCTCCTTAACACTTGTGAAAGTGACAGGATGTGTCCTAGCATTCAGGATGTATATTTCAGAAGAGTATAAGATTTAGGAAAGGGGGGAAGGGTGCAGTTGTCACATGTAAGTACTTTTCATTACTTCTGGCTTCTTCTAGAGCCACCTGTTTCATCTGATTTCCTGCTCACCATTCTTTTGTTTCTATATTTCATCCTTTCCTTTCAGGCACCTTGTTGATCACTATTTCAGACACTTTTTCTTCTTGTCATCAATAGAGAACTGTTTATTAAAACTCAAAGTCAGTAGATCTTAAGATGGTACAACATTTACACAAGAATATAAAACCACATTTAAATAAAGCCCCACAAGTACAGAAATTTCAGAATGAAACATAAAGGCTGCCCAACTATCCTTTCTGTTAATTGCTGAAGATAAACAGATTAGCAAAGATTATTTCTATGGGTTTTGTGCTTCATGTCACTGAATTTGATTCTTGTTATTGAACTTTAGATACATACTCAGACAAATACAATGCTAAGTTCTGAAAAGAAGGTATTTAGTCAAAGGCTTTATCAAGGCTTTCTCTGCAGTCTGCGGGATGAGACAACCTGTCCTGCAGCAGTTATCTAAAGGGCAATGGCATTGATTGTCACCTGGAGATGTCTATCCCCTTCTCCCCACAGAGCAATCCAGGAGAAAATACAGTAAATAACAAGCAAACAGTGCTGATTTTCAGTGAAAATTTTGATAAACAGAAGTGGATAAGTGGAATCGTCTTGCAGTGAGAAGAATTTAGGAATATAATTAGATATAGAGCTTTAAGTGTCAAAGAAAATCACTGAATAATCAGAATTAAACAAACTACATTTATTTAAATATTGTAAAATTGTTCATATAGAATAACTACATAAGATCAGGAATAAGCAGTCATTTTAACCTATACCTCTGGAATAGGAAACAGGATTTTCTGGGAAAAAAAAATAATTATTTTTTTGTTTGGCAGGACTAGGTCATTAGTGATGAAGGAGTTAGGAAGAAGACAATGAGGGACTCCCTTTTCAACAGCAGCACAGATCTATACAACCTTTACAGGAACCTCCAACTATGGGTTTCAGCTTGCAGCGAACTAGAGTGATCAAGAAATCTCTCTCAATTCTGTATATCACTGAAAGGACTCAGAAACTGAGGACAAATAACCAAAAATTTAAGGGGTGGGGGGAAAAGGTTGAAAGCAAAGCATGATGAATCTACCCTAGATTAATATGCTTCTATGATAAGTGAATAAAAATGGACCAGAGGCTATGTTTGAATTAAACAACAACACATAATTAACCACAGCACTAATATTTTGCTGTAATCTTGGAAGTCTTTGAAACTAACTCCTTCAAAGTTCTTGGTGAAAGTGAAACAGCTTCCCAGTGCAGCAGTCAAAGCTAGTAACTGGTGTAAGCAAGGACATGCTCTAGAACAATCAAACAGAACTGCATTTTGGAGCCCATTACTATCTTAAAAATTTGTAATCTAGTTCCATAATCATAAAATGATATAATGATAGAATCATAGAATCATAGAAGAATTAGGGTTGCAAACGACCTTAAGACCCTCCAGCGTATCAACCGAACCACACAGCTTGGTGTCATCGGCAAACTCGCTGAGGGCGCACTCAATCCCACTGTCCATGTCAGCGACAAAGATGTTGAACAAGACTGGTCCCAACACCGATCCCTGAGGGACACCACTCCCTACTGGTCTCCAGCTGGACCCTGAGCCATTGACCACAACTCTTTGTGTGCAGCCCTCCAGCCAGTTCTTTATCCACCGAGTGGTCCATCCATCAAATTGATGTCTCCCCAGTTTAGAGACAAGGGTGTCATGTGGGACAGTGTCAAACGCTTTACACAAATCCAGGTAGATGACATCAACTGCTTTACTGCTGTCCATCAGTTCCGTAGCCCCATCACAGAAGGCTACCAAATTGGCCAGACAGGATTTCCCCTTAGTGAAGGGGACATGCCATGAAGGTGACAGCCATGCTGGCTTTCACCAAGCACCTTGTTGATTTTTATGTGCCTTAGCATGCCTTCCAGGAGAATCTGCTCCAAGATTTTGCCAGGCACAGAGGTGAGACTGACTGGTCTGTATTTCCCCAGGTCATTCACTTTCCCCTTCTTGAAAATGGGGGTTATATTTCCCTTTTTCCAGTTGTCGGGAACTTCATCTGACTGCCAAGATATTTCAAATATGACGGATGGTGGCTTAGCAACTTCATTTGCAAGCCTCTTCAGCACCTGCGGATGGATTTCATCAGGTCTCATGGGCTTGTGCATGTTCAGGTTCTTAAGATGGTCTCGAGCCAGATCATCTGCTAGCTCCATGTTCTTCTTACACGATACTTCACTGAGGGTTTTAAAGCTATTCTACAGAACTGAGTCACTTACTTGTGTTTCATGAGTGTTGCAGGGAAAACCTGCTTGATCCAAACAGTTTAAACCAAATTGGGATCAAAAGACTTTGTTGAGCTTTTGAGAACGTGGAATCAGGCAGCAGTCAGTGAAGTGTTGCATTCAAGTAGTAAGACAAAAGGTAAATTCCCAGACTAGACCCATGAACGTTAACAAACACAAGCAAACATCTAAACACCCTCTGCTACAAACATTACACTGTGTAACAAACGCAGGAGAGATTTCTTGAATTCTCCTTTCCAAGAAGAACACCTCACCATAAGCAGTGCAGTCGCAAATGCCCATTGGTGTATTGATGAGGAATGCTGAGGAAACACCGTATGCTCTCTATGCTTCTGCAAAGTTCATGCAAAAGGAACCCAAACCCTTTTCCTTTCACCTTTGGGATCGCCACAGTCAAATGACTGTACATGGCATAAAAGCCTTTATGGATACAGTCTGAACAAACACATTTATTTACAGGGACACCCTGCAGCGATGCCCAGCGTGTGGCCACCCTGGGCAGGGACATCCCCCTGGGCTTCCTGGGCACAGGCACTGCCTCAGGGCCAGCAGCCCAAAGGCGTTTTTCTAAAGGATGCTGGGTGAAGGGGCAGCAGCAGCAGGGCTGCGGTGGGCAGGGCTGTAGGTGCCCTGTCACCCCTGTGTCACAGTGCCAGCACCCGGCAACACAGCATTACAATGCTCTGGGGCTGTATAAGGCAGCGTCGTCCCCTGTCCCACTGCCAGAGTGCTCGGCACTGCCACCAGGGCAGGGCTGGCAGCCTGAGGGCATCTGAGAGAAAGGGCTTGGGGCACGGGGGGGGGATTACTGGGAGGGGGGAGGGGGCTGGTGGGGGGAATACTTGAAGCTGCACGAAGTGCAGGAGGTTCTGTGCTGCAGTTCCAGGTCCTGGAGGGGCCACGCTCAAATCTCCTTGGATGGATGGATGGAAATCCTGCTCCAGCTGCCGGGGCACCCACCCTCCTCATCTGCTGGGCCCTGGGGAATTGCCTGTCGGGGTGCTGAAGGAGGGAACACCTGGAGCTGCACAAAGCTGAGGGAGGTTCTGTGCTGCAGCTCCAGCTCCTGGAGGGGCCACACTCAAGGCATCATTTAGGGCTCCTGCCTCAGTCATCGGGAAGCTCACTGTTCTTATCGCCCGGGGAGAGAGTGGCAGTAGCCAGAAGAAAAAGGATTCACAGATGGCTCCGTGCCCTCTCCCAGTGCTCTTGAGCTCCCTTTGCCAAGCACAGGAAGGATTCTTACTCCAAGGATTCACCAGGCCAATGGCATTTTGCTCTTGTTGGAAGCCCCTGAAATGGCTCCGGGTGGAAGCAGAAAAAGCAATGCCAGTGTCCCCTTGTCCCCTTAGAGGTGGAACCAGCGTGTGGACCAGGAGCAGGTCTTGCTCACATGCTCAGGGAGTAGCCGATCACCAGCACTGGGGTCAGGAAGGAATTTTCCCCAGGAGCAGATCGGCACCAGTCCCCGGGGGTTTTTTGCCTTCCTCTGAGCACTGAGCATGACCACTTGTCAGGGCTCCTCGGTCCTTTCTGGCTGCGTTATCACCCGGTGCTCATGCTCCATGCAGGTGGCCCTCGTGCCCCGCATACAGGGGGAGGCAGCCTTCTGGACTCCCAGGGTGGCCCCAGAGTGGCCCCGGGACTTGCTGCTGTCCTCTGTAGCATTGAGCACCACCCCTTGTCAGCTCTTCCCTGGCCCTTTCTGGCTGGGTTCTTCTTGCACTGCTCTCCCACTACCACGGCACCGCTCCTGCCCTGCCTTTCCTTTGTCAGGCTGCAAGGGATGTTTTTTCCAGATAAACTGAAGGCTCTAAACTAAAACAGACAAAAATTAACTAAGCTAAACTAAATCAAATAACTTCATTTAGAAATAAATAAAATACTCTTTCCACTTGTAACCGTTCTTTTTTGTGTCTTTGAAAGTGCTTATGGTGCTGAAATTCCCCTGGCATTTCAGATAAATAAGGATCTCCTTCTTGTACCACGCACTGTGAGAGCAGGGAATGGAATGGAATAAAATGGCATGGGATAGAACAGAAGAGACCGGAATGAAACAGAACAGACTACAACGGAAAGCTATGTTATGTTACGCATATAGAATCACGGAAGAGTCAGGGCTGGAAAGGACCTTAAGATCATCAAGTTCCAACCCTCCTGCCATGGGCAGGGACACCTCACACTAAACCATGTCACCCAAGGCTCCATCCAACCTGGCCTTGAACACTGCCAGGGATGGAGCATTCACAACCTCCCTGGGCAACACATTCCACTGCCTCACCACCCTTACAGTAAAGAACTTCCTCCTTATATCCAATCTAAACTTCCCCTGGTTAAGTTTGAATCCGTTACCCCTTGTCCTATCACTACAGTCCCTAATGAAGAGTCCATCCCCAGCATCCCTATAGGCCTCCTTCAGATACTGGAAGGCTGCTAGGAGGTCTCCACGCAGCCTTCTCTTCTCCAGGCTGAACAGCCCCAACTTTTTCAGCCTATCGTCATACAGGAGGTGCTCCAGTCTCCTGATCATTCTGGTGGCCCTCCTCTTGACTTGTTCCAACACATCCATGATCTTTTTATGTTGAGGATACCAGAACTGCACAAAATACTCCAGGTGAGGTCTCATGAGAGCAGAGCAGAGGTGCAGGATCACCCCCTTCCACATGTTGGTCATGCTCCTTTTGATGCAGCCCAGGATACGGTTGGCTTTCTGGGCTGCGAGAACAAACTGAAGCCGGCTCATGTTCATTTTCTCATCGACCAGCACCCCCAAGTCCTTCTCCACCGGGCTGCTCTGAATCTCTTCTCTGCCCAACCTGTAGCTGTGCCTAGGGTTGATCCGACCCAGGTGTAGGACCTTGCACTTGGCATGGTTAAACTTCATGAGGTTGGCAACAGCCCACCTCACAAGCGTGTCAAGTTCCCTCTGGATGGCATTCCTTCCCTCCAGCATATCAACCGAACCACACAGCTTGGTGTCATCCGCAAACTCGCTGAGGGCGCACTCAATCCCACTGTCCACGTCAGCGACAAAGATGTTGAACAAGATCGGTCCCAACACCGATCCCTGAGAGACACCACTCCTTACTGGTCTCCAGCTGGACACTGAGCCATTGACCCTAAATCTTTGCATGCAGCAGTAATATCTTTCCTTTGGTTGAATTTAAACTTACGTAATTTTTTTTTACTCAAAAAAAGAAGAGAAAAACTGGAACTTCAGTGGATGTTATTCAGAGTTATACCCTTCTAGAACACCCAGTGATACAGTCCTAAGGTTAGCTTCCTGAAATAAAACAGCTTTTCTTCTTACTACAGCATAAGGTCCAAGCTACTACAGTCTTGCAAGTGTATCATACCAACATCAATTTCTGACATCAAAGAAGTTATATACTTGATGTTGTTTCTTCTGTTAGTTGGCTTTCTTCATAAGGGGGCATTTTTTTTATGTATGGATACATATTGAATGTTAATAATGCACCCTGGTTCTGTTGTCCTTCAAAGTCTGGCCTTATTTTGTCTTAGATATTCACAATATCATGAATGTTCTTCAATTTTAAACCACAGAAATTAGAGAGGCAGGGATCTATTGTACAGAAAAGGGAAATATAAGCGGAGATACGCCAGCCTGCAATCAAATTTACTGTAAGAACATTACCACACAAATTGAACTATTTCAGGAACAGGCTAAAATGATAGAGGTACTTCCCATTTGAGGATACTTGCAGATTGAGGCAAGCATATGCAAATTTCTTCATCTTGTACAACTCATGATTACAAGATAAAAATGATTTCCTCCTGGATTCACCTGTTTCAAAAGCATAAATATCCAGAAAGTATCAAAATATAATCTGTCAATCTTAATTTGAAATTTAATAAATCAGACTCTAAAAGATGATAAGCAAAATCCTTTCATAGTTAAAAAAAAAAAAAAAAAGCCTGAGGCATAAAGTACTAGAATTACTTTTAGTAAAAAAAGATAATATACAAGAAGAAAACTTTTGCCCAGGTAGTTGCAAGAATTTAACAGTTTTTTGCTGAATAAATTTAACCTTTTCTAGCACAAAATCTTTACGGCAATACAGTGGATTTACAGCATTTCACTACCTGACAGCTTGCACTTCAAAAACTTCCAGTTGCATGCATTTTATCTGAATATGGGCTGCCATAATAAAAATTAATAAAACCAGTAAATGGGTCAGATATGCAGATCACAACACCTATCAAAGAGTAAACAAACAGCAACTCAAAAATGTAATTTCTTTCAGAGGTTTATCTAACTCCTATCAAATCACGTGTCAGTGTATATGCTGATTTAAACAGGGAGGCATCACCTTCTCTGTCCATGGAAGTCTCATCCAGGTTACAGCAATATAGACATTGCCTTCATTTCTCCAGTGGCAATGGGTTTATCTTTTGGATTAGTTTGGCTGCAAGGGCAAAGAATTATTTTTGCCCTCAAAATCTCTAAGGTTAGTTATCGCTTCCGAAAGCAGTAAGGCCAATTACATGTAACTGTGGGTTTTCTTGAAGTTTGCACATTCATGCAAAAGTACAAAGAAAGATCACTGTACATAGTATAATTCTAAAGCATCTTTACCTGTAAATCCCATTTCTCATGAGGATTATGATCATGAAGATAGACATGTATTTTAAAACTAGCAGGAGTTATTTATTCACAATACAATGATGGCAAAAGAGAATTTGGGGGGGGAGGGGGGGTTGTCACTAACACTCCCATCAAGGAGAAATGCTTTGTCCAGCAGTAAGGACAAAGAAAAAGCTTGAAATTAAAGATTTCTGCTTAAAGAGTTAGTTTTATGCTTATTCAACTATCTCAATAGTTAAATCTGCCTCAATAGTTCACACTGAAATTATTCATAAAGAGATCGTCACCCATCTCTAATGATGATTCCAAAAGTATTTGCACATTCTATTTAGTATTATTGCTCGAGTTCAACAAACTATTGGGAAAATCTATTCATTGGTGTGTATGTTATAAAAGTTAATTTAAAATGAAATTTTTACCAATTAATAAATTTACTGAATATTTGGGGAGATAATTTTTTCATGAACAAAACCAATAGAAAATACCCTAATACCGCTTCTGAAATTACATTCAATTCTGGAAGATTATTATTATAGAGAGGCTTCTGAAGTTAGCCCTTTTTTTTGCAACAAAAATGTAATAAATGTAATTGCTTTGAAATTTACTATCAAATATGAAAACATATTTAAAAGGGTGGCAGTCAGTAACTCAGAGCAAAATATCCCAATTTTAAGCCATGTTCAGATACCATGCTGTTAGAACACATTGATGTCAAAAGCAACCATGGTCTATCTACAGCACTTAAAGGCTGTCGTAAAATAGCAAATTACACTGAACTTACCGTGGTATTTTAAGTGTGTTTATAAGGAAATAAATATTTTTAGTCTGAATTTCACCTGTAAGAATTCATACATTCTGAAATTATTTTGTTGCTCCTAAAGTGCTCTGCTCTTCATGATACTTCCCAGAGATGACAAGCTCTGCCCCAGTATGAGAAGGGTGTGGGCTGAAAAGTGAAAAATCCTTGCTCATAGGCAGACCTCTTTGCTCCTGCCTAGGACTCCCAAGATGTGGACTCTGAGCATCTTCATTTGACAGCAGCTCCTGCTGCTTGCTGCCACACATCACCTGGATGCAGAGAGACTTGACCTTTTCTCAACTCTAAGGTGGGAAATATGATGAGATTACTTATGTAGTATCTCCAAAGCTCAAGCAAAGGCTCATGAGGATACACAACAAGAGAATATACTCAGGATTGCCATGCAGGCACACTAGAATTTTTCAGCCAACTGTTTTTACCATTTACCATTCACCATTCACCATTCAAATGAAGATTTACATAAAAAAAATTCTCAGGATGACATTTATGGTAGAACACATCCTCCCCACAGTAGCTTCATGCTTAGACAACGGTCTTCATTCTAAACCCAGCTCTGCCCCATCTGGAACAGATTTGAACTCAGATGAGCTTTTCAAGGCTTAGCTATTTCAGAATAGGTATGCCTCCACAGTTTCTGTTGGAGCTAAGCTATTTAAATGCCTACTGAACTGAATTCACATATAAAGGAAAAAAAAAATGTTAGGGAGATGGGAAATACTATGACTCACCAGGAATTCTTCACATCTTAAGAAATATTTCTAAAACACTGGCACTGACAACATAAGTTAATTGATAGAAGTAGAGTTATTTTATTCTTTTCATATACATCTTATTTAGATTGTTATAATTTCATCTTCCCTATATTCCCCAGCAGCAAGCTTTCAACTTCTTACCTAAGTTGGGCAGAAAACAATATTACTGGATAATATTTCATTAAAACCCCTGCTTCATCAGGTTAAAATATTGAGCTCCTGGTAGATAATGTTCAAATTAATCATACTTTGTCCACATTTACCTCTCAAGAAGATTCAGCAAATCTTTCAGAAAATGTTACTACAGCAGTCATGTTTAGTAAAGATATTCCAGAAAGTGGCAGGTTCAATTTTCCATTTTTTGAGACATCAGGTAGTCTTAAAGTAAGCATTACTAAACTGCAGATATTTTAATTTTTTTTCTGTCTGGCTTCAGCTCTTTGCTAAATTCCTTTGAGTCTGGTAATGGCTTTTATTTTGTAGTCACAGTTGGAAAAGCGGAGGACAGGCACAAAACACTCAGCACATGAATTTTAGGCAGGTTCCATTGAAGGACTGAAACGTTACATATATTTTTACCTCATTTTCATACTGTTTGATGCATTAATATATTTTACTTATTTACATGTGTCTATTGCAAGATCTCCAAGTCATTTAAGAAGATACCTACTATAAATTAGAAAATCAACAAGCTGCGTGCTGACAGCCAGCATGGCTTCACTAAGGGGAAATCCTGCCTGGCCAATTTGGTGGCCTTTTATGATGGGGCTACAGAACTGATGGACGGGGGTAGAGCAGTTGATGTCATCTACCTGGATTTGTGTAAAGCGTTCGACACTGTCCCACACAACATCCTTGTCTCTAAATTGGAGAGACATCAATTTGATGGATGGACCACTCAGTGGATAAAGAACTGGCTGGAGGGCCACACACAAAGAGTTGTGGTCAGTGGCTCAGTGTCCAGCTGGAGACCAGTAAGGAGTGGTGCCCCTCAGAGATCGGTGTTGGGACTGGTCTTGTTTAACATCTTTGTTGCTGACACAGACAGTGGGATTGAGTGCGCACTCAGCAAGTTTGCCGATGACACTAAGCTGTGTGGTTCGGTTCATACGCTGGAGGGAAGGAATGCCATCCAGAGGGACCTTGACATGCTTGTGAGGTGGGCTGATGCCAATCTCATGAAGTTTAACCGTGCCAAGTGCAAGGTCCTACACCTGGGTGGGAGCAATCCCAGGCACAGCTACAGGTTGGGCAGAGAAGAGATTCAGAGCAGCCCTGTGGAGAAGGACTTGGGGGTGTTGGTCGATGAGAAAATGAACAGCAGTCGGCAGTGTGCGCTTGCAGCCCAGAAAGCGAACCATATCCTGGGCTGCATCAAAAGGAGTGTGACCAGCAGGTCGAAGGAGGTGATCCTGCCCCTTTATTCTGCTCTCGTGAGACCTCACTTGGAGTATTGTGTACAGTTCTGGTGTCCTCAACATAAAAAGGACATGGATCTGTTGGCACAGGTCCAAAGGAGGGCGAAGAGGATGATCAGGGGACTGGAGCACCTCCCATATGAAGATAGGCTGAGAAAGTTGGGGCTGTTCAGCCGGGAGAAGAGAAGGCTGAGTGCAGCCTTCCAGTATCTGAAGGAGGCCTATAGGGATGCTGGGGATGGACTCTTCATTAGGGACTGTAGTGATAGGACAAGGGGTAATGGGTTAAAACTTAAACAAGGGAAGTTTAGATTGGATATAAGGAGGAAATTCTTTCCTGTTAGGGTGGTGAGGCACTGGAATAGGTTGCCCAGGGAGGCTGTGAATGCCCCATTCCTGGCATGTTCAAGGGCAGGTTGGACGAGGCCTTGGGTGATATGGTTTAGAGCGAGGTGTCCCTGCTCATGGCATGGGGGTTGGAACTTGATGATCTTAAAGTCCTTTCCGACCCTAACTGTTCTATGATTCTATGAAACTTATATAATCACTGGTAAAATTAAAAAAATTAAAAAAGAAAGATCTTGAAATGCATCACATGCATTGCTTCATTCGCTGTCATTGAGTACAAGTTAAATCTGACCTTTATGTACGACATCAATGTGGAAAAAGCTTCAATTAGCAAGTGTTTGTCTAATACAAATGCTGTTTAATGTTAGCTTTTAATGATCCTGCAAATACCAATACAATAATGCATTTTGCTCATTTTACAGTGATGGAGATGATTTTAGCTAGTAAAGTTAACTGGCATAAAATAGTGAAACTGTAGATCTGAAGGAGCTGTGGAGCTAAAGCAGTACTCAAAACAGACAGAGCTGATATTTTTTGAAGTTAATACCATACATGCCATAACAGATCAAAATACAAATTAGAACTCAGGTAATTTTGTCTTTTCTATTGCCATGCTTGGCAAATTGTCTATTGCTTTTCCTGAACTTTCCACAATTCCTTGTGAACTATCTATTTTTAGAAAAAGAATACCTTGTCATAGCAAATCAACAAATAACTTTCTTCTCACAGTCTAATACTGTCTCAGTCAGAAAAGGAGACTTTCAGTTAAATGTTAGTGATGACGCAGTTAACAGTATCTGTAAGTAGTACAAGAGAGCACATGCTCTTGAGGTGTGTTACCTGGTGAAAGGCAGGACAAGTCATTTTGTTCATAAATACCATTTTGAGCACTTTGAGGCTGTGTTGAATCATTACATACTGCCTGTATGGAAGGAGGAAGCTGTGTTTTCATAAGGAGGGGGAACAATAGGCTGCACAGAGATCAAAAGTGGCCCAAAAAAGCTGAAATGATCATTTACGTCCTTATTCAAGGAGTCTGGCTTTTTTCTCAATTACTCTTTGGTATTTTTATGAAGATCAAACTCCCATCTAAGAACAGGAATCAAAGTTTTATCTATTCTTTGTACCTTTCTACGTACAGAAAGACAAAACAAAGACGGAAATGCTTTAGAATGTTTTTCTGTTTTAACATCCAAACATTTTTACGTCTGGAAGCTCAGTTATGACCTTTTTAATTCTGAATCAGTAGCTACAAAGAATTAATGGGGCCTAACTAATCCACTTCATATTCACACCATCAGTTTACTTAGATAAATTTTCTGTACTGTTCCTAAGTGTAAAAGCTTAACAAAGACTAACAAAATGATTGAAAGTAAGTTCTAATTTGCTTAATTACCAAGAGACAAATATTGTTACAAGTTACAGTATTTTAAAAATCATAGAATCATAGAATGGTTAGGGTTAGAAAGGACCTTTAAATATCATCCAGTCCAACCCCCTGTGTCATAGATAGAGTGACACACTTCACTGGTAAGAGAGAATTAGCAATATATTTATTGATATAAACCAGTGATTTACCAAGATTCAATGGCAAGGTATTTACTGCATATAAGTCAGGGTCAGACAAAACTGTGAAGGAGACCTCCCCATTGAGTCATGAGGTTCAGAAAGGATGCCATTGATTTCTAAACTCCTTCTCAGACAGGAGTCTAGGTACAGCTGGATCCAGACTTGGCTAACAGTTTATGTCTAAAGGGTCATGTGCACAATCAATCCTTTACATTACTTACCTAATATTTCCAAGTCTAGCATGCTACTTATCAGTTATTATGAATCGGTTGTGGAAAGGAATCTCTTGACCTTGAGGAGTAACACTGAGAGGTGTTCCTGCTCAAGGTGCACAGAGCACTTCCATGCAGGAAAGCTCAATGGGCCCTGGACTGTCCACTATGTAAGGAGTGAGAAAATGGACTCATGGTCACATTTGCATATCAGCTAAAGAAGTTAGGGTTTTTTTAAACTTGGCTTGAGTTGAACTTTGACCGGCATTATGATTAGGGGTTGCACATTGCTCATATAGCCCTTAGCTATTGCATTGTTATCTGTCTCCCCTGAATCCACTTTCAGTATGCAACCATCATGACCAGACACATCCATTACCGTGTGGGTATCAGTTGGACAGTTACAAGAGATAAAAGTTAGGTTGAGTCAGGGAGGGAAATACACTGCCACACCCTGCCATGCACAGGGACACCTTCCACTAGACCAGATCGCTTAAAGCCCTGTTCACCCTTGCCTTGAACAGTGGCAGGGATGGGACATCCACAACTTCTCTGGTCAGCCTGTTCATGGATGTGGCAGCTGTGAACACGAACACAGTCATTCACACAGGCTGTGACAAAAGGGAAAGACAGAGTGCAAAAGCAGACACTTGAAATGATGCGTTAGGAAATGAAATGAGACAAGTTGTGAGCAGATGGAATGATTTAAGAGCAATGTGCCATTCCCCTTTTATAGTGCCCTTTTTTTTCTGACTGAATTTCCTAATTTAATGGATGACTTCAGGTTTTGCTCTCTGGCTTCCAGACAGTAATACATCTCACCTCAGAATTTCAAACGATGTCAGAGTCAGCATTTGGCAGCCAAGTGAGCCTACACCACTGTCAGGACAGAGGTTCGTTCTGCCAAACTTCAGTCATACCCCTCTTAGGCAGCTTTCTTAGACCTTCCTTAATGTCCATAAAGAAAAATAAACAGTTTTAGAGAATGGTTCATCTATTATATTTTAAAAGTCTACTCTGGGTTGAAACGAGTTCCTTTCTAAAAATGTCTATTTCTCTTCACTGACCAGTGAAGCAATTTAGAATGACTAGCTCAAATATCCTTGCCTAGACTGCAGCCCATGCCTGCATTCTTTTGATGAGTCCCGCCCAAGATGTCAAAAACTGAGAAGGAAAACATAAAACTGTCGGCTACATGAAAACTTATACACAAAAAATCGCTTTTATTAACTATATAGACATTTATGAAAGATAACTCTTAATATGCATATATCTGTGATGCAAACACCACCCCCACACTCCCTTTACTTGGGGGAGATTAAAGTACCAAGAACCTGACAAAAAACTTCATTGTCACTTAGGCCTTTGGCTATAATAAAATCAAGGAGAAACAGAATAGAAAAAGAACAAAAAAGCAGAACTACTACCCCTGTTATGACTGCTCCTAATTTTATTAAATATTCCTATGTTTTTTTCAATAGGTCATAAGATCATGAAGAAATTCTTAGAGACAATTGGCAACATTAACAAAGATCTGCTTTATATTTGCAGATTTTAAATAATTTCGGGGGGGGGGGAATTCATTATTTATTTTTTTTTTTTCCCACCAAATTAAGCTCTTGGCAACATTGAACTTATCCTTTTGTTATTTTTATTAACGAAAGATTTGCAAGTCAGACTTCTGCTTGACTCCTGGCCGGATCAAGGGTACTATAGAAGTGGGAACTGGAAAAGTCAAATGCCACTCAATATTGTTGGCAATATTGATCTGTAAAGACCAGAGAAACAGCAGTGCCACCTACTGTTTAGACTTTACAGAAACTCCTAAAAGGTGGGTCCAGGCACCTTACATATGGTTTACAGTAGAAAGTTCACTGTGAGAAGGAATTACTTTCTGTAACAAACACGGTGTAGCTGAAAAATAAGTTTAAAAGAAAAATTAAAACCAAACATCTGCGCATGAGTGAGATCACTGTCTTCTACTCTGTCTTATTTTTTTCATGCAAAGTGTTCCAGTCAGGGAAATAAGAATTTTAAACATGTTTTTAAATTAAGGGATAAAGTGGGAACTGATTTAATCTTCAGTTTTTTACAGGATTTTGGAATGTATTGGTTGCATTTGAGCTTCCTACTAACTCACTGACTCTTAACATGCACATACATGAAATGGACTTGCAGACCAAATTAATGCATGATTTGTTCTCATACAGATGATTTGCAGAAAATAATGTTATTTTAAGATTAATTTATAAGGTACATAAAATATTATCATATTTTACCTTTAGGAAATTTGTACTGAAATGTTTAATCAGGTATCAAGGAGCAGCTCTTTTCATAGGTGTAGTGGGGTCCATTGCCGCAAGGACTAAATAACCCTCAGAAAATCTCTGAGTCTGATTTCATTCGTGCATCAGGCTGAGGCATGGCACACAACAGGATGGAGCCCAGCACCACAGATGCCAGGACATGCTCTGAGCCCATACATCAGCCCCAGTGAGGATTTCCCTACTAGCCTCCGAAACCCTTCCCCTGTCAACAGGCATGGGGCAAGTGGGGCTGAGCATGGAAAGTAGCACGAAGGAAAAAGTTACTAGGTCATTTGGGAACTTATGGCCATTTGTGGGGGTGGGGACATTTTCCCAGCTTGTAACAACTAACTATCCCTCTCTTTTATTACCCAGATAATGAATAACCTACAGCACTCTTGGTTCATGTGTTTGTTCCCTTAAGTTGCATTACATATGGGTCAACACATACACAATGGCCTATAACAAAATTTGCTGTTGAGATCATGACTAACCAAAAAGCCTTAGAGAAGCTCCTGGAGACACCAGTCTAAAAGGCTATGAGTTTTAGATTACCCATCCCTCTTGTACGATGACTACAATATTCTAGTAATATTAAGTCTCTATGATACATGCCAATTGTTGAAGCCATGTGACAGTGAGGCTTCTAATTCCAACCACCTTGGGTAACTGAAAGAGGAAAAGCCACTCACAGCATCATAGAATGATTCGGTTTGGAAGGGACCTTCAGGATCATCTAGTTCCAACCCCCTGCCATGGGCCGGGATGCATTCAGAGGGTGAGCCACTTCATTTTAAGATATGGTACGAGCTGATTTAGCTTACTGTAGAATGCCAATGTTTACACTAAACAAATAAATAAACGAAAATTTTTGGCAAAAATTAATAGGGCAGGAAAACCTTTAGCAAGGAATTTCAATGAAGAATTTCAATTCCTATTTCAGAACAATGATTTTTAAAAAAAAAAATACATTTTTTTTAATAAAGTATATTTTTGCCTGAAATTCTTGGTTTTGTGTAGAAAACAGTAACTGTAATACATAAAGGCAAGATCTAAACTCTCAGAGGCTGCTGAGAGATGTAAAGGTGCTGAAAGGCTGACCTAGCAGCATATCTATGTGGCAAAATATGATCAAATGCATAATTTAAATAATGCTACTCTGTTCGATCTAGACAGATAAGGCCTTTGGAAACTCGGGAAGAACTATCTACTCTTTGATATTTAGAAGTAACTTGAACGTGTCATCTTTGGGCTAGATAGCGGCTGCAAGTCAACCCAGGGGAAATCTCACCTCAGTCTTTTTGTTAGCTGCTGTTACTCAGTTTTCATTAAAAGAATGCTCCAGATAAAGCGCAGACAGGTGCAAGGGAATAAAACTGAAGAGTACCTTGCCTGCTCAGCTTGATCAAAGCAAACTTAAAGTGGCCCCAAGTGATAAAATAGGGGCAGAAAGAAACACAGAAATCAAGATAAAGACAAACTTTAATCAAAACAACCATGAAAAATGTGGTATGTGTTCCTCATAAACAGTACTATACCATTTTATTTAAGGAGCCTTAAATTACACAAATGTCAGTAAGTCTTCACAATTATTATGTTTTGTTTAGTTAATTATGTCAATCATAGTCTCACTGCTGCTCAAATCAACTACAGGCTTGTCACCCTGCAAAACACATCATACAAAGCTAGTATGCACTGTTTGATATGACTAAACTCAAATTACTTCAGGCTTGGCCTGAACCTCTTGTAAGGTTCAGCAGATCTAATCAGCTACTAAGAACTCCTATATACTATATGGTATAGTATCTTTTTTGCTCAGAAAGTCCAAGACTGTTAGTCTTCTGCCTTGAATGATTTTCTTGGTTTAAATCAACTAAATAGGAGAAATTCCTCATACTTTGCTGTTGTTCTGATTCCTTCTGAGAGCCGATATTACAGGGCTGCATCTGGAAAGTCCATTGTTCAGTGGACTTGCGGTGCCCTATGTTCCAGCTTTCTAATTTACAGCTTAAGACAGCTGCTTATTTCATCTAATATGACAAATAAAAGACATGTTGAGCATTTTTAAGGACAATTTAAATTAGGCAGCTCAAGGGTTCCCCCCCTTTAGGGAGAATTCTATGGCTTATTCACCAGTTGATGTTTTTGGTTTGACAGGTATCAGATATTTTAGTTTTCTAAAATTTATCGAACAAATGATTCAATGTCTATCCAGCTGATAACAATAGGTTCCTTCTGCTTACATGCTGTTTAAAGACTTGTCTTCAAGTTCTGGGAGACACTGCAATTATTCAGCTTATAAATCAAAAGAACTGTCAGAAACGGGTAAGTAGTAATTAATAATACAACGCCATGGGAATTACTATTGTAACTGAAGTTACTTGCTTTTTGAGCAGACGTTAAATCCACTTTCTTCTTCCATCATTTTTGGGTGTTTTTCTGATATTGATAAATAACAATTTTCCTTTCCTCCGCTTCAAGCTTTCTGGAACTTTTGACTTCAAATATATGCATCTGTCTAGTTTTTCTTCCCAATAATAAAAAAATCTTTCTCTTTTTCACTTTCTCTGGAACTTCTCTGGAAACTTTTTTTTTATTTGCAATGACAAATGAAACTATTAATGCAAGCTGTACTTCTTCTGTGAAATTCAAGCCCACTCTTCACTTGGCTTCGGTAATGTTAGTGTTTACAAACAAAGGTCAAAGATGTACTCCCAGTGTTTTTTGTTTCCCACAGGCTTGAAAAGAAGCAAGACAAGAACTGGAAAGAGCAAGTAATGGAAAAACCCTGAACTTCCTGCTCTGAGAAATTATCTTCCCATACAATGCCCCAAACTGCATTTCACCTTCACATTTATTTGCAGTCAAACTAATTGATTTATTATTTTCTTTCCTGTAGATATAATTCACAAAATGTACAGCTTTAAAAAGTACTTTTCCCTGAGAATTCTCTTTGGAACTACACCTTAGAAAGATCCAGTCATGACTAGATCCACTGGATCTATTTTAACCCTGCCTTTCAACAATGTGAACTTAATTTTGGTTTTATTTATTTTTCCCTTTTTATTACAAATTTCAATATTATTTTTGTATTATTTGGAGAAGATCTTTGCTAGGGGTTGCTAATTCTGATTTTATAAAATTGGCCATTAGTATCACGGCTGTTTTCCAAGCCAGCTGTTGAACTTTACCTTCTGAAAGACTTACGCTACTGTTCTTCTCTCTTATGAGCCTCAACACACTTTCAGCTTTGTTAATACCTCCTTTCTCCCACAGTTCCTTTGAAGCTAGACATTTCCATCCTAGTTACCCACCCCCTTCTACCCTATGAAATCACTAGACTCCTTGCAAAACCAGTCGTTTTTTACCTAGAAGCACCTCTGTTCCTTTGAGCTCTTTCTAAGGGTATGGTTCCTACATTTGCTTTATCTGTGAACTTCTGTCTCCTGTAATAATCACTCTTTGGCTCCCTGTTTGGACACGTTAGTCAAGCACAAAGTGATTCTCCTAGCAGGATATACACAGCTTAGAAGTATAAAAATTATTAATTGGTTATCATACACATATGATCACTACTAGATTAGGCATTAATATGCTCACCATGTTTTGTAAGACTATGCAGGGTTTTTACTAGCCAGGCAGACAAATGTCAGGAGGAGAAGGGGCAATTCCTGTAACTCCCTGGAGCACAGCCACAGTTGTGCCATTTCTGACCCCCTGGTTTTAATTTGTGATTTTATACTTACCCATGTTGATGCCTTTCCTTGTCTTACCGTGTCTGCAGTTTCAGCTTTCTCATCTCACATGAATCTCCTCTTCAGATTTCCTTACAGGTTGTGTTTTCTTTTTGTCCCACTCCCTCCCCGTCCCCCCCCCTTCATTTTTTTTTCCTCACAACTCAGCAATTTTCTTAGACTTTGAGCCACAGTTATGTAGCTGTGTAGTATCAGCAATGGGCCTGGTATCCTTTAGAGCACAGATGCTGCAACAGACTTCAAGACAGAGGGCGTCACACTCCTCTTTTTTAGCACTGAGATGACTGTGACACAGAGGTGAGGAAATGAACTAGTTCCTAGCGGCTACCAGTCAGACCTGTAGGTTTGAGTATACATTGCTCAACAGTAACCTATATGCTCGTGCTTACTCCATAAGAAAAGCTTATCCTTTTCCTTGGGATACACCATCAGACATTTCTTCAGATCTTAATACACTGCATTAAGTCATTACATTTCTCAAACTTTTCGCTCCATGTATCAGTATTTGGATCTAGGCCAGTAGGTTGAATTAACGTTGCAAAAAACTGCATTTAATCCTTTAATGACACCTATCTACAAGAAGAATCATCTATTGTCCCCATGAAAATTTATTATGCAGAGCTCATAGAAGAGACATTCAGTAGGAAACATAATTTTAAAATGAATACATTTCCAAATTACACACATAACATCTTTGTCAGTAATAAAAAAAAGACAAGTTAAGTTTCAGTCCCAATGATTTTCTTTGTATGTCTTCTCATTTTCTATGCAGGACTGTGAAATAAGAATTCAGTCGTACTAGCAGTGACAAGTTATAGTTGACAATACTGACCAACCTAATTGTGTTGACCGAAAAGTAACACAGATAAAGTCGTATTCCAAAACCTCCTTTTGCTGCTGTAGCTTATTCTGTCAAGGGAACTGATTTTATATACATTTCCAAGCAACTATATCAGTGCTCCAAAACAACTATTCTGGCAAACACCACATAAAACCATCAGAATGTTTATATAACTCATGTAAGCTTTTTTCTTTTTGTACATTTTATTGTTAAGAAAATCATAGAAACATAGAATCATAGAATAGTTAGGGTTGGAAAGGACCTCAAGATCATCAAGCTCCAACCCCCCTGCCATGGGCAGGGACACCTCGCTCTAAACCATATTACCCAGGGCCTCATCCAACCTGGCCTTGAACACTGCCAGGGATGAAGCATTCACAACCTCCCTGGACAGCCTATTCCAGTGCCTCACCATCCTAACAGGAAAGAACTTCCTCCTTATATCCAATCTAAACCTCCCCTGTTTAAGTTTCAACCCATTACCCCTTGTCCTATCACTACAGTCCCTAATGAAGAGTCCATCCCCAGCATCCCTATAGGCCCCCTTCAGATACTGGAAGGCTGCTAGGAGGTCTCCACGCAGCCTTCTCTTCTCCAGGCTGAACAGCCCCAACTTTCTCAACCTATCTTCATATGGGAGGTGCTCCAGTCCCCTGATCATTCTGGTGGCCCTCCTCTCGACTTGTTCCAACAGATCCATGTCCTTTTTATGTTGAGGACACCAGAACTGTACACAATATTCCAAGTGAGGTCTCACGAGAGCAGAATAAAGGGGAAGGATCACCTCCTTCGACCTGCTGGTCACACTCCTTTTGATGCAGCCCAGGATATGGTTGGCTTTCTGGGCTGCAGGCGCACACTGCTGGCTCATGTTCATTTTCTCATCGACCAGCACCCCCAAGTCCTTCTCTGCAGGGCTGCTCTGAATCTCTTCTCTGCCCAGCCTGTAGAGAACAATTACTAAGGGAGCAAAGAATGAAAGATATGTCATGCTATAAAAATGTTGAAAATGGATACACTTATCTAAATATGAACATGCAGCAGATATAATTAGCTTTGACACTTGATGGATAAGGGTCTGCTCAAGTCTACCTATGGGAGAGGGCAAGAGAAAGGATTGAGACAGGGAGAGAAGTCTTATTTACACTTTCTTCTAAAAGGGTAAGAGAGATACTAGTGTCAGCAGCTACATTTGAGAGACAATGTCTCTGCTATCCCTGGCAATGTTTTGGCTTTGCCTATACGTGGAACTATCCTTGATTAAAGTTTTCATTCTCACCAATTCATAAATCTTACTCTGTATTACCAATTTTCCAATTCATGAAGAGGTCAGACACATTACAGAAGGAAGAAGAAATTACCTAATGTACTTGAGCCCACATCTGGGAGGATGAGAACAAAAAGGCTCCTCCTGCTACGCTTGTGACCTTTGCACTTGTCATAGCTGTGAAACAAGTATTAATTTAGATGCAAGTGTGGTGCTCATGATGCTACTGCCCACTGCAAATTAGAATTCTTGCCTGTAATTAACGCAGGCTTTTTTGTTCCACGACTCGGGCTCATCTCTCATCTACAAGCACATCCTGTAAATATGGGGAAAGAGCACAGGATGATGAAAAGGCAGTAACTCCACCATGAGATTATTTGGTTGCTGCAAAACAATTCCAGTTTTGCAACTATTGCTTCTTAGAAGTTGGAAAGATGACTGAACTATGCACAACCAAACAGAAGCTGTCAAGGTCCTACCCAAAACAGATGCAGCTCCTTCTATCCTAAACCGATACCAGCCCTTCCCAATAAAAAGTAATAAGGGACTCTAGAAGTGGAGACTTCTATGTGAAGTCTAACATATTTTTTCCCCAGCTAGTTTAACTCCAGTAAGGCCCTTGGGAGACTTGACACATACACTTTTATCTCCCTGGTTTTATTCATTCACTCTTGGCTATAGGATCCCTCTCCACCTGGAATCTACATGCTGAGTTGGCTTTGCTACTCGCCTGCCAGAAGGGTGAGCAGACTCACCTTCTTGATACACAAACGCACACATAAAAAAAGGACACTACGCAAACCAAACCAAAACCCAGGTTCAACGCCGCCTCGAGGTCCCGCCTTCAGTCACAGGAAGCACCTTCGCAGTGCCGGACCGGAAAGCGGCGCTCACACCCGCCACTGCCTCCCGGTTGGCAGCGGCAGCTCACTGGGTGGTGTCGTGAGGCTTGCAAAAAGGCACCCCGCGGGCCTCTCTCCCTGCCTGCCTCCCTGCCTCCCTCCCTCGAGAGGCCGCCGGAGCAGGAGAAGGAGGTGGCCAGCCTAGGCAGGCACGCTGCCTCACCCAGCACCTGTGGGCAAGGCAGCAAGAGACCACCCCAACTGGAACAGGCCACAAGCTCCCCTTGAGGGACGTAACTGCCCATCTCTTCCGTCCCCCTCACGCACTAACTGTGTTGTGCCGGGCTGCGCACGCGCGTAGAGGAAGCGTCATGGGGAAGGCTGCACTTTCCCCCTCCCCCCCCCCGCCCCCGCTTGGCTTCCTAAGGCTCCGTGGGCGCCCTTTCGCTCTCCGCGCTGCAGCGCACGGAGCCAGCGCTGTCGCCGCAGCCGGGGAAGGCAGCGCAGGGGGGGAGTCCCTCGTCGTCTCCCGAGGATAAAGGCACCCGCGGACAGGGCGCGCTCCTGGGTGCAGAGCTTGGGCACTTCAGGGTTGGGATTGGGCCCTTTTGGAGCCGCCCGGGACCCGTCGCGAACCCCCTTAGGTTGTAAGCATTGGTGGGTTCTGCGGCTCCCCGCGGGCCTGCCTCCGTGGTCGTCATGGGGGGACGTGTGGCCGCTCTGGCTCGGTCTGGGTCCCGGTGCCGCGGGTGCGGCTCGCAGGTTTCACTGTAGACCCACGGGAGGGTCTGGGGCTGGAGCCTCCGGGAAGGGAAGCGGGGAGAGGCTGGGGGTGAGCTGGAAGTTTGAAGGGATGTTGCCCTCTTAAAAATCGCTCTTCGGTTGTTAAGTTTTCAAGTTTAAAAGGCGCGGTGACTTCGTGCTGTTCGCTTCTCCTGTCATGTGACGGACTGTGTTACATTTAGAAATGTCTCAGGGTTTCAGCTGTATTTTGCTTACTTGTACCGGTTGTTTACTGAACAAAAGTGTGTGTTTGGGGGATCGAGTTGCATTCTAGGCCTGTTCTCATGGCGCACAGGGCGAAACAGAAAACTTTAAACTCACTTACTTAGTCGGGATTCAGTTTGAAGGTGGTAAGTACACCTCTGAGACCTTGCCTGTGCAGAAGCGCACTGGGTTTCTTTGCACTGATGCTAAGGGCAGTAACTTGTTTTTCATCTGAAAAACTTTATTTGCATATGTTACTCTTTATGGTCAAGGTCTTGCTGGGTTTAAAGCAGACTTGCATTTGATTTGTGAGTTGCTACTAGGATGTTCTTATAGAATGGAAGATTCTAAGGCTTGTCTTGTATCAGCCAGTGTGCTTGAGTTTTTCTTACTAGAATCTTGACACCTGCACTTTGTGACCTATTGGTTTGAATTTGGTGGAACACTCCTTGCACATTTTTCAGCTGAGGTAGAGGGAGCACAGTATCCACATTGTTAATCATAAGGGACAATCCATTTGCTTGTTCGTTGTGTCGCTAGCAATATTAGTCCTTCCTGTTTCTGAAATGAACAACTGAATTTATGGTTAGTGGTAAAGAACACAGTGCCAGATGGATACTGAACAAAAGTTCTGCTTAGAACTATTTTATTATCAAGTGAATCAACTGTTGATACATCTGTGTTTTAAATAAAGTGTTTGTCAAGAGGGTCTTGTTACAATATCAGGGCCTTGGTGTGCAATTACCTTTCAGCTATTCCTAAATTTTGTTTTGTTTTTTTCCTTAATGTTTTTAAACAGATTATGTTTAGAAGAAAGTTTCTACTGTGTTTGGCAATGGCATCCAAGGTCATCGATGCTTCCTTTGTAACTTCATGGTGAAACAGCTTCTAAGAGTATCAGTTTAGTTACCACATCATCTGGATCCAGAGGTCACTTTTAAGAAAATGTGGACTGTTAAAAGTCTTTGTAGTGCTCAAATACTGTTGCTTCAGCTGAAAAAAAGCAGATCATATAGTTGTACGTGTCCAAAACCTCAGCAGTTCTGGATTGGAATTCTGAACTGTCGCACTGTAAGAGCACCCTGTAACAAAGTTCAATTCCAAGTAAGTATTTTTGTGAGGCTGTAGGTAAAAGTGATGAGCATCAGTCCACTGATAATTTCATTGAGAAATCTGCAGAGCTAAGCTTTTTACCTTGCAGCCTTATATATGAATTGAAGATACCTTTAGTGTATCAGGGTAGAGGGGTTGTCAGCAGCAAGTTGCAGGAGAACCAGTGTTTCAGAAGGGATGTTTTTTGTCTGACAGTTCTAAGCTGAAGGGAAATACTAATTTTTAAAAAATTGTACTTCAGGCAATACTGCATTATATCTGTCAGGCTTATTAGTTAGAGTGATAGCCATTTGGTGAAGAATAGGGCGAGAGCTCTGGAAACTTTACTAATGCAATATTGAACAAAAAAGTGGGGAGTGGGAGGGGAAGGTCAATTTTTATTGGGTTGATAAGGGAGGATAAAAGCATAAGAGTGTGATCATTAAAAACAAACAAAAAAAAAACCCACAAAAACCAAAAAACAAAACAAGAAAAAATAAAACCCCACAAAACAAAAAAAACTGTGGATATAAACAAAAAAAGAAAGGGAAAGGACACCAAATGAAGGCTAATTTGACATTGAGAGTTTCAAATAGCAATGTTTTTCTAGAGGTCTAGTTAAGTTCCTCTTTAAAATACAAATTTCTGCCTGTATAAATAGTGGAACACTGTGGTATCAACTACTTAGGGGGGGCTAAGCAATTGAGAACCATCTAGATGGTTTTACAACTATTTTAATTGACTGTTAATCTGTTCGGGGGTAAATAATGTTTATCTTGTATCTTGCTGGTTTTCTCTTTTTAATAGTAATATTTGACTGTATGTAGGTTTCAAAGACGAATGGTAAACAATCAGTAGTAGATATGGGAATGGCTACAAGTGCAGAAGAAACTGAAATAGCTGCTCGAAAAAGTCCCAGGGGAGTGTGTGATAGAAGCCAACATTCATTAGAAGGTACTGAGCCTTTTGCTGCCATCTTCTTAAGAAGGGACAGCCTTCCCTGCCCTCTCTAGACTTGTATTAATAATCAAGATGGCCTAAACTCTTAATTTGAAATCTTTGTATCATGCAATGTGTTTATTTTTTACTCTAAAGAGTAACAAGGATTAACTCACATATCCTTTTAAGGGGCTTATACACAATTTTTCTAGTTTGCAAAGACTTGTGTATTTTTCGTAAATGTCTTAATGGCTGATTTGATAGTGTACTGATTGTTTTGTGTTATTAAATTTTTTCCTCAACATCATCAAACTCTTTCAATGCTTATTCCATGTGACTGAATCAATTTCTTGAGTATTCGTAAAGGCAATGAATGATTTGTGATGCTAGTTAACATTTTTTTTCTGTTATAAATGTGAAAAAAAAAATTGGACATTCTTGTGTGAGTGGTGATTTCTGATTCAGATACGTTAGCTGTTACAATTTTAACCTTTATTTTAGCAGTGCTGTGTAACTAAACAGTTCTTTCTGTAATTTTGCTTGTTTTATCATTCCTCGCTAATAACTAATCCTCAAATGTGCTGTTATGCATCACACATTTTAGTTCCTGTGCTTCAGGGTGCTTGGTCATTCACATTCTATGCATATTTCATTTTTGTTTAAAAGGTGTTTTAATCAGTTGCTTTGGGCATTTTCAGCTTTTGTTTACAAATGGGATGACAGGGAGGTCGTTATGATTGGTTAAGACACTCAGATCCTGTGCTGTTTGTATCATTATATTGCTCAGGAAACAGCAGTATGAGAAACTGCTGTGCTATTTCTTGTGCATGACAATTAGGAAGAGAGTACCTATTCTGAAAAATCTATATTGTACTGTGTCATAATTCTGCTGTACAGGCTTGTCTCCTTACATACATTCTCTTTTAGTTTCGCATTACAAATGAAAGATACTGCTGAGTAAACCAAAAAATGTTCCCCTGCTCCCCCATCTGTTACTCCCTCCCTGGTGTATTTTTAATCAGCAGCGTATTTATTTTTTTTGTTGTTTTCACAGATGCGAGAATCTTTTAAATAGAAGTCTAAGGTTTATGTTTATTCCTGAATGCTCCTTCATTATCTGTAAAGTAATGAGATTGAACAGGACCAGTGTCCTTCTGGATTCTTCTTTTACTTCTCTTTTCTTATTCTTCTGTTTTGTTTTTTTTCTTGGATACAGCAGAAGTGTATCTATCTACTTGGTTAAAATGACAAGTTTTCTAAAAGCAGTAGCAAAAGCAGTTGCTCTGTGCTATTGGTATGTCATGTTTATGACATAACTTTACAGTGTGTGCTATCCAGCTGAAATGTACTTATGCATCTTTTAAGTTTCATTGACTTTTTTTTCCTAAGACATGGCAATATGATAACTGCGAGTTAATAGATAATATCTTTAATGGTCAGAACTTACACTGAACCATCCAGGAGTATTTGTTCTGAAGTCCTGTGGAGCAGGTGTTTCAGAGCATTTCTAAGATAGCAAGATT